ACAGTACCTGTAATTCCATTAACTAGGGATAATTTAGCTAGGTATATTGCACATTTATCCTGTCGCCTTCAATACAATTCTATATGTAATTATTTGTCTATTGTTAGAATTTTACATTTGGAGGCAAATCTGCCATCTCCCATTGACCATCACTATATCACTAATGTGCTGAAAGGTGCAAGGCGGGTTTTAGGTGATGCCAGGCAAGCAAAATTTCCTATAACTCCAAAAATTTTGTTTCAAATTTTTGGCACCTTTAATTTTAGCAACACCAAAGATGTGACTTTTTGGACAGCTTGCCTTGTTGCCTTTTTCTCCTTTTTCAGGAAATCTAATTTGTTAGTGCCATCTTTACAAGACTTTGATCCAAATAGGCATTTAAGCAGACAAAATATTCAATTTCATCCTGAAGGTGTTATATTACATCTTTGTAAGACTAAAACTATTCAGTTCTCTGAAAGGTCATTGGCGGTACCATTACCGGATATTAGAAATTCTCCACTTTGTCCAGCTCAGGCCTTAATATAGGGGGAACTTGCTCTCCTTGCCTTAACATGATCCGTGTAATTTTATCTTATATGTTGTTAAGAGATACATTGCATTTTAACCAATCAGATTGGGTTGTTCCCAGTATCTGCAGCCCTTACTAATTAATTAAGTTGCTATTTGGGTTACTAAGACATTAGCCAATCAGGGCCCAAAATTTATTTGAATTATCCAATCAGGGCACTAATTAGTGGCTCTTGTTTTATCAAGAGCGCAATTATTCACTTTCAAATTTACCAACGGCGTAGGCAGACATTTTTAAATTTTGGCAGAAAAATTTCTCGTCCCACCCACCACTCCCTATTGGTTATGTGGAAAATCTTTTAACACATTGCATGTTATTTTAAAAGTTTCCTTTATTGCATGATTTTATCATTGTTTATTTTAATGTGTAGTTATCGTAGTTTTGTGTTTTCTATTGGAGTACCACAGATTTTTCAAAAACTGTTTGTGCAAAATGAAAATATTATTGTTTCATTGTTAATTGTCTTTATATATGATGCAAAGATTAATTAAACTGTGGTTATTCGCCCAAACCTGTATTATGTTTTCCTCAACCTTTGTCTATGTGGTTATACATGGCGGTAGGAGTATGAGACTCTATTCAGCTTGGTTCTTTCAGTGGCTGTTTAGGATCATCTGATCTTGCTTCCAACCATGTGACAGTACCCAACCATTTATGAGTTCACAATAGCTGTCACGCATACACACTACACTTGTATAAGGCCAAGGTATACATGGGATTAAGAGGGGATGGGTCCACTTCCATAGTGTACACGAATTAATTACTTTTAAAAGATGTTGTCATAGCTCAACCGGTTAGCGCGCTGCTCTGTAACACAATAATTTTTCACAGACTTTTTCGAATCCCATCGCATCTAAAAGTTCTAAACAATACACAATACTAACTTCTTGAAAACAACTCTACAGAAATCAACCTTAACTTTGAATTTCACAGATTCTACATGGTATAAAGTTGTAAACCTGCTAAATATTGATCTGAGGGATATTTTGGGGGTTCCCTGACCAACAGGGACTTTCCAATTTCTTCTTAAATCTTTTTTTTTTTAAATTCCACTTAACTTGCCCACATGCATCTACTGTACGTTTATATGTCGCAAATGTATTTTTTCCCATTTTAAACACACAATCACAGTCACTTAAAGAATGATATATTATAGCTATTTGTCTTTCACAAATGAATCAGAGAACATAAGAGTAGTCTCTTTGATTCCTACCATCACTTATGTTTGAGTGGTAGAACGATTAACAAACAATTGATATATTTTCTCCTTTTTTTATTAAAATTTTTTCGATATGTATTTTTTTACCCTGATTGAAATTAATATTTACGATAGCAATATAATATGTTTTATTGACACGCAAACTTATCGTGGAAACCTTTTCCAATGTCTGTCTGTCCGTTTGTCAGTCTATATGTTTGATAATTTATCAACTTTGCTTCCGTCCATTTTGGGTGTTTTTAAACGTTGTGTAATTTCAATTATCGTTATATTATCATGCTGGTCTATTTTTTGTTGTAGAATGCCGAGCAGTGGTCCTAAAACGTATCACTGTTGTTTATGTAGAATGAAAACAAAACCAAATGACAGAAAACAGTGCACATCATCAGAAATGAGATCACCCCCAGTTTTTGGTGGGGTTCGTGTTGCTCAGTCTTTAGTTTTCTATGTTGTGTTTTGTGTAATTTTGTTTGTCTGTTTGTCTTTTTCTTTTTTAGCCATGGCGTTGTCAGTTTATTTTCGACTTATGAGTTTGAATGTCCCTCTGGTATCTTTCGCCTCTCTTTGAGAAGGAAATTCATGCTAGATGCATCACCGTGTGACATTTTGTGTAACAGGTGTCGACATCTATATTATAGAGCAACGAAGAAAACATTTGCTACCACAAATGTAAAAGCAACTAGAGGTCAGTTTTGTCCAAAGTCACCTACAGTAACAAACACATCTGAGACATTATCTAGACCACCATCAGTGAAATTAAACATCAAAAGTACATCTAAGCGTCATGCATGCTTATTGTTGCTTGTGTAAAAAACCAGAGTCAAAATTAGTAGTCCCACCATCTGTAAGATTTTCCGCATTTATGTCTAATGAAGTTGTAATTCCTGAATGTAATCACTTGTCCTTTACATATTAGGAATGGTTACTAAAACAGGAGAATCTTTCGCAAAAATACAAACTACAAATCTCACCTAGATGAACAGAAGTGGTATCTTAAACTTACTCACGCGTGTTCGGTAGTATGCGTTAAATAGCGAAGCTAAACGCATTGATTTTGATGGTAAAACTCTTAGTGAGGAGGATTATATCAACCTAACCAGTTTGCATATAACAGAATGTGATTCCCTTTGTGAATATATACAGGATTCTGTCCATAATACACCAGCGCGAACCATGAGACTGTCGTTAGGAATTTTTCTGATGAAACTAAAGTCTGGCCTGCCGAATAAAGTATCATTGACAGTGTTCACCATTACAAATTTAAGTATTCGCAGAGCAATATCATCCGTAAGAAAGGCCCTGTATACACACTTTGTACTTGAATATCTTGGTTTACAACATATATCTCGTAAAGATGTAATTAAGGACCACACTAGGCCTTTAGCGCAATCATTACTTGGGAACAATACTGGGAATCAAGCTATTCTTGTTCTGGATGGGACTTATATTTACATCCTGTTTAGCTTTCAAAGGAGGTCGTACAGCTTGCACAAAGGAAGACCACTGGTAAAACTGTTGATGGTTGTGACAACAGATGGATACTTCTTGACAATATGTGGACCATATTTTGCTGATGCAAAAAAATAATGATGCATCGATTTAAAACATATGCTCAAATCATACATAGAGGAAATCAAGGCACGAGTAGAAAAAGATGATGTATTTGTGGCAGATAAAGGATTTCGTGACTCAATTGAAGCCCTAGAAGAGCTTGGCATCAAAGCAGAAATACCACACTTCATGAAGAAAGGAGAAAAAACAGATGACAACTGATGATGCAAATGACAGTAGTTACCAAGGTAGTAGTTGTAGCATTTATGAAATACAATTTGTATAAAAATGAGACTATATTCGAACAATTTAGAGTGCTAATCATAATGCATTATTATACATATTTTGTTAACTAATCATGCATTAGATAAGTGTAGTTTGTGACCAAAAATTTAATAAAACCTTAATTGAACATTGAGGAATTAAGTGTGATGTATGATTAAAAAAGGGACTTTTGTTACAACTTAGTACAAGTGAATTAAATTTTTTTAAGTTTAAAAAAACATTAAAGGTGATTGGTTATAAAGAAAATTGATTAAGAGACCAATATCTTTACACATATTTATAATTATTCTATTTTTCAGATAAGATGGGTTGTCATATCAGCTAATGCAAGGATTAAGCAATGGAGATATCTAGACAATGTCCTACCAACCAACCAAGTACCACATATTGGGGAATATTGTTACGGTTAAGGGGTAGGCTGTAGGTTTGTACATACTACTATTTCGGGCTAGCCTACTCAGTAAACACTCACTTACTTTCACGTTCGTCGTTTACTGTTAGCCAACGCGTATACAAAGACATTTGATGAACATTACATAAACTTTTATTGTTATTGTATGTAAATATTGTTAGTAAGGTCTCTATGAGTAATGATATAGAGTTCGTCTTCACTGCATAAATACTTTTACTTATGGGACACACTGACTGAATCTCTTTTAAATAGTATCACCAAAATAGAAGACCAAGTGGCAAATTTATGTATGAATGTTATAGATAATGTACCAAAATCTAATAACGAGTGTTCATGTGAGCATACCATTTCTAATGTTACCAATATCATGCGGGAGTAGTAAAGCAAACCAGTCTTCTAACCGAGAAGCAGTATACAACGATAATATTGAGTATACCAAACCATCAATCTACGATGGGACCACTAACTGGCTTGAATACAAGTTACATTTTGAGGCTGTTGCAAAATTAAATAGTTGGTCGGAAGATATCAGGGTTTTAAAGCTTAGTACGTGTATGCATGGTGCTGCTTTATCGCTGATATTGAGATAGATAATATCCCAACATATTGTAATTTAGTTAAAATATTAACCAAAAGGTTTGCTCCTGACAACATGACAGATGTTTATATGTCACAAATTGATGCTTGTATATTGTTTAGTACCCCTTAATTGGCGTCCGTGCCCTAATAACATATCAGTCCAGGGATAATAATAATAATCATGTTAACTAAATGAACTTTTCATAATACAACAGATTGTGCCATATATCATTTGAAACTTTCATGTAAACTCGTCTTCGCTCGAAGATCTTATACTTAAAAGTCCAAAGGTAAGATATTAACCCAAAACATTTACAACAAGTTGATCGTATTATCGTACATTTGACAAATAGGTACAACATTTAACAATTACTATCTAATCAGTTTCAAGGTCATTTATATCTGTTTATGTTTTCATAAATAAGATGGATTTTTCTCTTTTCACTGATGTATCGTCAATTTTGTTTATTGTTTTGTTCGGTCTTATAACGTATACAATAATTAAGCAATGCCGTCGTCCGTCTGGAATGCCTCCCGGACCTCGACTCTGGCCAATCGCTGGAAACATGTTGTCCATTACAGGAAAACATAATTTGATTGAAGCTTTCCGTGAATTACGACGACAGTACGGTGATATATACAGTTTGAAGCTAGGGTCGAGTTGGATAGTAGTTATAAATGGACATGAGAATTTAAAGGATGCTTTAGTGAAACAGGGTGACATGTTCAGTGATAGACCAGACAATTTTTTTTTCACAAGGCTACTACAACATCAAGGTAAGCATATTATGCCGATGTGCGGATGGTGTGTTTTTTTCTTGTAAATTCAAATATGATATCAAATAAAGGGTATGTATAAATGTCAATGGGATAGCAACAAAGCGACACACGCATACATACACACACAAATACACAAGAAAAAAAACCATCTGGACGTCCACACACATTACGCAACAGTAGACAAGACCTAGTATCTTTGCAGTATGTCAAGGCCATAATCGCCCCAAGACTAAAACATTGTGAAATAACTATATTAGGATTTACCATAAAAATAAATTTCCCTAAGAGACAAAAATCTTTAAGATATTCAGTCCACGAGGGTATCATCAGCTCAGTAATCAGTACTTCGGTACCGAAAGAAAAAGAAAAGAAACTAAGGTTTCAACTCCCTCAGGCAAAGTTGACCTTACACGGATTTGGCTACTTTTTAGGTATTTTTTTTGTCATATAGCTTTTCAACTGTTTCGATTCTTATACATCCTCGGCTTTTAAATATTCGGCTTTGAGCGTTCCTGATAAAGGTAAATCCAGAAAAGCGCTTCGGCCGCATGAAATTATTCAACGTGTAGATTTCGCCCTGTTTGTCATAAATTTTAGGGATTCCTAATCAACAAGATATAAAAAGGGACAACGATCAATTTTAACGTTTGTTTTGATAAGAGTGCGGTGAAGTGGATAAATTTCGTTTGTATATTAAGAAAACATCAGGATTGATTACAGAAAATTTATCGTCAAAATATCTGCTAGCACCCTAAACGTACCAACGTTGCGCACGATGTTCCTGCAACACGACGTTACTCCAATAATGCGACGTCGAAGAGGGTTTTCTCAAATTTTAAATTCGATTAATCTAATTTGTACGTTTCATTCGGTTTTTTTATATGTAGTTGTTTGATTCAGTGTCTCCGTTATTTTTGTGATGTCTTTTTAATATGAATTACCTCAAGTTGTGGAAATCGATTTAAAAATGTTTACCCTTAATTCACCTTAAAAGGCTGTATTGTCGTAAGTAAAATTGGGACGGAAGTAAACAGTTTTCTATAAATAAATTAAAACAATATTTTAGATGTACAAGACTTAAATCACAGGCTGCTAACATTTCATGGTGCATATCATCTGTCATTGTAAAGTTTCTATATCTTGATTCAACCCCAATACAAATATATCTGACACTCTGCAAGTAGATCAAAACATTTTTACCCTTGATTAATTTGAATTGAATTGTATTTTCCTTGACATATAATTTGTCGAAATACACCCCTTCAATTACTTGAACCTCAGCTTGAAAAATATTTCCCCAGTCATCTATAGTTGCTTGCTTTTTAAGTTTTCTAACGTCTGATGTACATTTCAAAAAGTAATAATCTTCACCTGGATCGTCCGTAAAAATGGCTAATATAATCCCGGGTTGTATTAATTCAATGAAACTGTTTTCTTCGCTGTTTGCGGTTAGTCTTTAAGTTACCTCCATTTCATGCACAAGTTTATATTGACGAAAAGGTTCGGCTTCGCTAGTACAGGAATTAGTTTCATCACGACAATTATAACATGAGTAGCAGGACAATGCGGGAACTAAAACATTCCCAGGACTTTTAAATTGGTGAATGCACCTTACTGAAGGGACGACTTTAAATGATCCATTTCGGGGTACTTCCGCAACATAACGAAAAATTCGCCTTTTACATGTAGAGGACTGTCTTGGTGTCTCCAAATTTTCTTTGCAAAAGTTGTACATAGTTCATGTAGCGAGATATTTGTTTTTATCATTTCATCATTCTTTTAAATAAATCGCTGAAAGCTAAAAAATGATTTATAAAAATAGCAAAAAATTAATTTACAACCCCTAGGATTTAAAACAGAATCTCCGAAATTTCCTCCGCAAAACAAAAAGCAAATGTTGGCAAACACTAACCACTATAAAACAAATTCAATATATGTTTTTAATTATGTTCTTATAGCTCCTGATCATATACTTAGAAATATCTAGAATATTTGAGGATTAAAACAACAAAGCTATGTGAAAAAAACGGATGTCCAACGTTACATTTTGGAACAACTGTTTTAACTCTTATGTATAGTGATCCTATTTCTTATTCTCTGATCATCCTGAAACTTGGCGGGAACAACGACGTGTATCGGTTCTTTGTGGCGTTAAAGCCGTAATTTTGTCAAATTCCATTTGACTCGGTGGCTGCATATTAAGCTGGGATAAGAAAAATGTCCAACGACGTTTTTCGTTCAGTGAAACGACTGAAAGTGAATTTTATAAGTAGATGTAGCAGAAAATGTCTAAAAAAGTAAGATATTAATAACATCTACCAAAAGTACAAATATTTGCCTCATTGTTCGTGAGTTCAAAAAATGTAGCATATATAAAATCTTCTCTGCACAGTCGTTTTTCAAGCGGTAGTCATTTTGTCCAAGTTGATTTTTTATTTGTCAAAGCAAATAATGCGGATTTTTCACCTGATGTTTCAATAAGTTATTTATAATTTATAAAAACAAAAGTTAGATACACGAAGAGTACAAAATGACTAGATTCTTTTTTTGATAACTACATGTTTGGGTCTTAAAGATATAAAATGCTAAGTAACATTACAAAAAGGTAGTCATTTTGTCCAAACGTCTGAAAACGTGTGCTAAATTTGTTTCAATTATATGATACTGATAATTAAGACAAATCGTGTGGTAAACACAGATCTTGGTGGCTAAAAAAAAAAGGATGGTGCATGTTGCTAGGCTTGGAACAAAGATTCGACACAGATTAAATTTTGCTATTTTTATAAATCGTTTTTTTTAGCTTTCAGCGATTTATTTAAAAGAATGACAGAAAAAACGTATTTAAACGGATTATCATCATTTATCTGTACAATTGTATGTTTCAAATTTGCCCCTTCATGGACAATTAAGGACATGATTTCCGATCATTATTAAATAGACTATACTTAGATTAAATAACAAACGGTTGAATGAAATTTTATTGTCTCATGCCAATAAATATGTAATTTGTTTGTTTAATTTTGTTTCTATATCAACAGTTGTTACTCCGAGACATGATAAGCGGGTAATAATATTTTTGATAAGTTTCATAACTGGAGGAAATTGCAAAAAGATGATCTTTTAATCTGGATAATGTCAAATGATGACATGCATATGGCACGCCTGAACCACTTTTATAGATAATCCTAGATTATCTCAGATAAACTAGGATTATCTCACTATTTTACATTAAGCTCAGATAAACCGGGATTATCTCGATTTTTTTCAGATAATCCCAGTTTATCTCAGAATTTTAAGATAAACCGGGATTTTCTCAGCTTAATGCATATTTGAGATAGTTCATTATATTCCTCACAAAATTAGATAAAATATTAACTGGAGAAAATCCGGGATTATCTGAAAATTCTGAGATAATCCGGGATTATCTGAGAATTTTGAGAAAATCGATTAACTGAAAAAAAAGTAGCCAATAGAAAGCCACGACACATTGGAGGAAAATTTCATGGTCATAAGGGATAATATATAGATACAATGGTTCATCTACACAGATAGAGAAGAATGAAAGATTACGCTCTTACGGGAAACGTTTTAGAAGTTTTAAATTTCCAAATTTGATAAAAATAACAATTGATTTATTCAGGATGTACATGTATGACAAGTGTATCGATAATAATGAAGATCAGAGGGATCTAGAATTTAGAAGTTTGTCTTGAGAGGTTTTTTTAAGAGAATTTGAATGTTATATCCGTATTTGTCTTTATGAAGATAGTGAAATATGTTACATAAATCTGGCATCCGCACAATTAACTAGGACAAATAACTAAAATGTTGAAATAAGTTAAGCAAAGTTGAAATACACCATTTCGAAGTTCTAATGAGTTTCCTTTTAGAAAGTTATAATCTTTAAAAAAAAATATCACGGGCCGTTTTTCTTTCCTTGATTTTCCCTTTTAGAAGAGTAAAATATGGTGCAGGAATTTATCATCCATTTATTGCAAAGTGTTACATTTTAGTACTTACTTGGTAAGTTGTATAAAGTGTTTGTTGTCAATTAGATAATCTAATCATGATAATGACAAATGCCCAATACCTGAAATATTTATTACCTTACAACTCTATTATTGTTAATCAGTTTGTTTTTTAACGACACGTGGCCAATGCATAATTAACCTTTAAACAAACGCTGTTTAAACGGGGTTTTGATCCCTGAAGGACGCCACACTTTGCAATGAATTAGATCTATATTTGTTAACGTTTTCAAATTAAATAAACTGAATGGATTTCTTAAAATTCTCAAATGGCTTTAATATTATTACAAACAAAACGAAACGTTTATTTAACATTTTTTGCAACTTTTATCTTTATTTTTGTTCTAAGAAAACCTTTCTTGCTTGGTTAACTAGTATGTGTTGATTACCTTCACTAATTACTAAAGATCAGACGACCTAATTAAGTATTTGTATAGACCTAATCAACATGATAATTGGTATCGAATATGATCATCGGTCATGCATGACATATTCCAAATAACGGCGCGTGTTAATAAACACTTCAATAACTTCTGAAAATATTCAATTAATTTTATTCAAACAAAAATATTAAGATAAAAAAAAAAAATAATTTATCGGACGCATACCCTCAACGCCCACTAAAATATCTATTACATGTCCTGAGTGCACTCAGGAGGCCCTGAGCGGTTTTAAAACGTACCGCAAAATTATTACTTAAAATAATTTTTTTTGACTGTTAAATGAAATACATTTCAATTCATGGAGTGTCAGTGAGTTATAATATATTTTACTTGAACACATTGAGCGATCGTATATATGCAATCAGGAACAGATGTATCCACGAAATTATATTAACATTTTATGAACTTGCCTGCTTAAATAAATCATGTTTTAGTTATAACATACACTTTTAATGTACTATTATTTATAAATCAATGTTTAAAATTCACATATATGTGCTAAGATTAAAACTTCATGTAATATTTT